ACTTGTTTGGTTTGTATGACTTTTCGAAGTGAATTTGATAATAGTAGAAATATAAAAACATCAAGATCAAAGAATAGAGTTCAAACAAACTGATCTTTTGTTACTAAGAGAGCATGTGTGTATGCTTGATTCTAGAATCGTCTCTATGATCGCCAAACAATTCCAAGGCCACTTCTATTTGCAAGCAACGTACCGAAACCATCCGTTGAATTATATAATAAATTATTAGATGATCAAAATCTACATGACGATGATATTCCAACCATTTCTCGACCAAATATGTCAAATTTCTAATGGCCGCAACACAGCATAGAAAATATAGCAGTTTTTTAATTACTTGGTGATCCTGCAGATTGTACCGTCCAATTGAGTTCACAAGTTTTGCTCGATTGATAATAGTTAGTTTGTCTTCAAACTCCAGATCGTTAGGAATAGAGCAGAGCAAAGCTTACTAATAATTGAAAAAAGTCGATTGTTTTTTGTCTCTTTTATCCTTGTTGTTCGATGATCCAATAAACCTAAGACAATTTCACATATACCCATAAACCCTTGACCAAAAAACCATATGAATCTAGGCGGTTCAAGTGCACCAGTGTAAATTAGTTCAATAGTGTCATTCCATTGAAAACTCACAAAAGTCTCATGAACTATTGACATATTTTCTAGTCATTCATGATTGTACGGACATTCAGCAATGGCAGAACATAGACTCATACAAAAATACATGATTACAACAATTATTCCAATAAATAATCCACAAAATATGAATGTTCTTATGCGAAGATTGTTCATTTTCCAATATGTGAACTCTAAAGAAAATCTTTGATGTTTTCGTTCTAGATCCATAACGAATCCAATCAGAATTCTTCAAGGATTCGATCTTTTTTCCTGAAGAAACGACTAAACCTTAAAAGAAGCGTGTGCCATGAATTTCAAGATCCTTGAAAGATTTGAAATAGGATTCAATCAGGATCCTTAGTAGTTTACCCTTTTGTTTTTAACCGAGAGTCATTCACGAACAAATAGGTGATTATAAGTATGTATGCGATTTCTTCTTATGTTAATTGACAGTTAGAGTCACTAATACATCGTTCTGTTGGATTCTTGTTAAGACCCTCGTGTGATTAAGCAACAATAATTGACAGGATCCTTATATAAGGGTCCAGATGCGATCTTATCTAAAACTTGATGAAATCTCGAGAGAATCTTCTCTTTTGTTCCTTGATGATCTTGAGAAGGATCAAGATTGAATTTTTGTAGAATCATGCATGCATGAGTTAGAAAAATCTGAACAGGAATCTGAGAAAGCCCTGATCAAGATCCTGTCTAACTTCGAAAAATTCTGAAGACATGTATTATCAGGAATGAAGACAAGATCCAAGAAATCGAGAATTCAGACAGATCGTTCCAAGGTTTCTTAAGGAAAGAGCAGGACTGAGACTAGGGAACTTTCAAGCGATATCGCTGTATTTTGTTTTAATGATTCTGTTAGATTAGAATTGCAAGAATGCATTGTTATTTATCATAGTTTTCAAACTACTAGATTCATAAGGCATCAATCATCAGAAGTAGTTGTTTGGGTCCTCTTTATTAACGCTGGAAGATATACAAGAAAATCTATCATATCAGAGTGAAATGGATTTTCAATCTTGAGTTTAGTCTCATGAGAGAAAAATATTCTTAGTGCAGTCCCATTAATGCTGAAACGTAGAAGCCAAAGCTTTTCTCTAACCTCATATCAACCTCCAAAAGATCATAGCTCTTCTCCAACAATTATGAATTCTCAGAAAACGCTATATCTTTTTTATTTTTACATTTTGTACAGAAACTTTGTGTATTTTTTTGGCTGGTGCTCTTTTTTTTATTTGTCTTGTTATTATTAGCTTGGTATTTATTCTTTTTTGTTTTTTGCTTCATTTTCGCAATTTATTATAAATCTACCCATTGATTTAATGTACAAATAATCCTGTTGTATACATTCGTTATATCTACAATAGATCTAAATGATCCATCATGTATCTCGAAGAACTCAGAAACCCTGAAATTGATTATTAATGAAACAGAATTTGATCAGGTCATGCTTTTTTTTATTGGTCGTATGATATTTGTGAGAAATCAACATACGCTTCTTGATATCTATCATAAAATTGTTTATCTGCGCAAAAATCTGACACTACGCTTCGTCGAATATGTAGGAACATACTTCAACCATTAAAATTTAAAGAAAGTTTCTGAAATATTCTAGAACCTCCTAAGCACAGCTATTGATGTCGTTTAGCACTTTCTATCTCGGTTACTAAGATTTATAATGGAAGGCTGGAGTGAGCAGATACGAAAATTTGACTTGAAACTCACATTCACTATTTTTTTTAAAAATATGCGTGCGTTCTGTAGAAGAATATACTTACGTTGATATTGCTAGTGAGCTAGCTTTTCGATATAGGTTTCGCTACCTTTTGAAGCAAGTTTCTGCACTAAATGATACAGACTGTAGAGCAACAAAATTTCAGATTCTCTCTTCTTCCTTTACATAAGCATGGCACTGCAAAAATGCATGTAGAATTTTGAACTCTTATAAGCGTTTATTGTCAATGCATAAATCTTTTTTTTATAGGTCTATGAGCTTAGTCTACACTTTTATAAACCCTTTCTACTCATGGATATTGGCAAGAATTTGTGAGCCGTCGTAAGTTCATATATATTCTTTAAGTGTTCTCCGCGTTCATGAACCCTTTTTTGAGTGTATGAACCGAAAAAACTCTCAGGCGAAGCGTTTATCATTGTTCATTTTAAACATAATCGTACAATAAGAAACCTTTTGCGTCAAGGTTCAACCCATTTATATACCCAAAAAATGATTTACGCATACAGAAAATAGTTTCAGAATATATAAATTCGCAACAAATCACCATCTCTTGGCAATGTATATGAAGAGAGACGGTTTATGCAACAGGTGATTACTCTCATACACCTTAGGACCTTATGACGAAAAAATCTTTGGCTTTTCATGCCAAAATTCATTTTGCTATTTTCTCGAACTGGATCTTTCTGTTGTTCAATGTTATCGTTCCAGAATCTGCTCGACCATTTTAGATATCTGCAAACTCGGGAATATTTTCAATTGAGAAACATGCCCTCTACAACCCGACAGCGCCGGGTTTTTTGTTTTTCACGTCACAAAAGTGAATTTTTTTCGATAACAACATCATTAATGTTTTGGATTTTTTAAGTAGTCGCTTCATCAGATAGCAAGATAAAAAAATTCACAAATCTTGAAATATCGAACTGTATTAAGTTGCAGCGGTAGGTCTTAACTTAATTGTGACATAAACACGAAGTCTATGTCATAACATTTTAAGGAGAAATTGTGAAAACAAATGTACTCACTATTTGAACTACAAGACCCAGCTAGCTGTTGAAGAGTTCAATATTTTGAGCTGGACTTTTAGCTGTGACCACATTCACCCGGATATATCTCTAAAGATAGTAGCCAGCTATTTTGCTCTGAGGCAAAGGAAAAGATTTTGGGATGTGGTGTGGATCTTGAAAGTGAAAAATGTTTCTATGCTTTTTTCTCAATCACAAACCAGTGAAACATCTTGAATCGCCTGCCTTATAGCATTGTAGAATTCTCTAGTTTCTAAAATCAATAAACAGATAAAGAATAAAATCAAGCAGAGCTACGTCGCACAATGTTGAAAAACGAAAATAACGAAATATTTCCAGTATCATCGTCTTTTATCGACATATCCAGGTGAATTTTAGATTTCAAGTAGTAGAATGATGCTTCTTGAAAACTAGGTAGATGCTAGTACTAATACACTTGGGTGCTTGTATGAAGCTATTCCATGATTTTTGAAATATAAGTCAAGTCTCCACTAAAGAAATAAGACACATTTTACTCTCCGTTACATCAGACCATGTTTTGAGTTTCAATCGTTAATCTATCAATCAATATTAACGCCTGTTTTTATCATAAAAAATATTTATAGGCTGCCAGTCAGCGTTCTTTGTTATCAGAGTCATTTTTTGTACATTCTCTGAGGTGTGCATGTGTGTATTTAACGAGATTAACCATACCCAGACCCATCTTTACGACATAGTTGGAATTATAAGAGTTTTTCCTTACTGATAACGATAGAAACGATCATACCAGACCGAATCGATCGGAATATCGACATAAGTCGTTCTTTATTTTTTCCACCCTACAACAGTCAAATCAAACCGTCCATTAGCCATATTTGCGTCGTTATTACTACAGTTATTGCATAACCGTCCTGTTTTATAGTGCTTTTTACTATTTATTTTCAGAAGTCTTTTTGTCTCTTAGTATCTATGGGTGAACAGAAAACTGCCTAAGACTACAAATTCTACTTCAGCTTTTCACCTTCATAAACAGTTCGTCAGATGCGTACGTACTCAATTCATTGTATATTTAATTTACTTCCCAGGTTTTATTTGCTTTGCTATCTCTGACATCTCTGCGAAATAAATCCTACAAGCACAAGGGAAATATAAGTGAATGTATGATAAACCCCAATGCTAAACTACTATTCAATTGTTTCGATAGTGCAGCTTGATCTGAAAGCGGATTGATTAAATTTGTTGTGTAAGTCATTATGAGCTTTGCCTATGTAGAAATAGTCTGTTGCATTTTTTGTCTCACAGAACTAGCTTTTCATATCATTAAAAGTGTTTCATTGACGAAAAAGACAGCCTTACGTTCTTCTTAAAGGAAAAAACATGCAAAACACCTAACAGATTCAATTTACTATTTTCGACTTCAATCTCGTCTTCCACACATCCATCTATACTGGCCCACATCTAGAACATTAGTATAAGCTATATTCAGTATCATATCGAAGAAATCAAAATTATTAGTACGATTGTAAGAAAACAGAAGACTTTATTTGTTAATTTAGTTAGTTTATCGATAACATGTTTTACTCGAATCTTTTCTCAATGTTCAAGTTGATTCTCGCTTTTCTATTTAAATTAGATTACGTGTGTGTATTCACTTTGTTCTTGAAAAGTTTAGCCTCCGATGCATTGATCTTCTTGGTCTGAGTTGGTATTCGAATCATTGGATAATCTTTCAAGTGCCAGAGATGCACTTCAGCCCGTTTGTTCACATCAAATTGAATATTAACTCGATTATTATCAACTAAAGATGGATGCGAAATATCTGCAATCACCAGGAAAGGAGGAAATGCCACTCGAACAGAGAGTTTTTTTCGTTGCAAGTGACGATAAACATGATCATATGGTTGCGATGGACCGGCTTGTAACCATTGGAGTATAGGACGGTAGGATACTCTTTTAAGCAAGAGAGCAAAAGCACCAAATGTTTCACTGCTAGCATCGAAGCACGCTCCACTGGGCCAATCTGTATGCTTTCTATGCCATATAGTGGCTCCTAATAATAAAACATCGGCTTCAAGACAACGACGAGGCAATTCTCTGAACAATGCTGTAAAATTACGATGTGGAATCGCATCATCTTCAAACACGAATACTTTTTCGTAATTCTCACGAACCAACATGCTATAGAACATTGTCATTGTCGCTCGTAGACTCTGTTCTCCCAGTTTCAGAGACTTATTTTTTTCATGATGTTGATGAGAAAAACGAATGCCATCGAAACGTCGAAGATCTATATTAGCATATTTCTTAAAATTATCCACAACACTTGGTACTCGTTCATCATGACCTGGAACCGTAATAATATATGCTACGGGTGTTGGACTTTTGTCTTGCTGCGTTTGCATTATTGACAAAGTCTTGCAGAAGTAATAGTTTGAAAATATAGTAGTAATAACAATAATTCCACAGATTGCACTATTGTACGCGTACCTTGACTTTAACCGCCACATTTGAACGGACTTTCTTAAAGTTGCATTTGATTCATTGAAATTGCGTGAGTATTGTTCTTAAATGTAGCTATACCAATGCATGAATACAAATTCTTTCTGAAGACTATAAAAAAAGTCTCATCACAAGAATCTAAAAATTGATGACAGATGACTAATTACTATACCGTTCACTAACAAAGCATAACCATAGATAACCGTAAAAATGAATAGTGTTTTGATAACTAATCGTAATAAAGATCGAGAAACAGCTGAAAATAATACTTGAGTCTCATATATAACAGAAGTAGGACTGTGTTATATTTTGACACTGTTTTGGACTAAAGATTATTGTAGTTACTGAAAACATCTGTGCTTCAAAAATAGTCTGCATTTATCTATTACCAGGTCAGTATTTGGAATCAGTGTTGGATTTTTCCTCAACGTCAGATAATTAGCAACGTTATTATATGAGTAAAGTTCTAGTGCCCAGAAAAGGTTTTCTTCACACCTACGTCTAGACTAGGTCGAAGTCGGTCCGTGTATTCGAACATTCTCACCCTGCTTCTTGTTATTAGCCGCGTCTTATATCCTTTGGTAAATTGCGCACAGATCTATATCTTTCAAGTTTCTTTCTATAGATTATTATTTAACATTGATTATTTATGTATTCTGTTCTCGACAGTTCGAATGAATGTTTTAATGGTACTATTTCATTCGCTTCGCACTTTTTTATTGGCTTAACATTGATTTTCGTTCTTCAAGAACATCTATCAACCTGTAATCTTGTTTACACGCAAATTTTCATCGTGAAAACAACTTTCTAAATATGAATCAGTCAATAATATGGTTTTGGGACGGCATATACATACAAAAATGTAACGATTTCGTTTACTCTCTTTCCAGAACAGAAGTTATGCAACTTACAATATACAGAACTATTTTCTCTTATTTATTTTGAAATCTTTCTATTCAAAATAAGAAATGTTTCACGCACCTCATCTTGTATAAATACAATCCAAATATACGAACTAAGTTTTCACATGTCAAAATCGTCGCAATCCCAGATTGAATAATCTCCACTTCACCTGTCATCTAAGGAATCAAACTTCAATGTCATGTTCAATTTTACATTGTACAAATGAAATGCTCCAAAGAGAAAGAAGTGAAGAACGAAAGAAATATTTCTTCTAGACTCAATCAAGTTTTAACTGTTCTCTTCATTTTTTCATCTCGAATACACAAAGATAAACAAACGCCACCTCTCAGTGGCATAAGTAGCTACAGAAAAAAAAATACAAATCAGTCACCAAACTACGATTCATGCACTACTCTCTTCGCTCTTTTTTTCTTCGTGACGGACTGAGTGGTGAAACAGTTAATGCATACCATGCCCTCACTCTCATAGAACCTGTTTACTTTAATGCTTCGTACGCAAACCGAACAGTTGCCAATCAAGTCGGGTGGGTAGAAGTCTTACTCATGTAAAAAAAATAAAAAAAATTTGATTTTATTCGTTTTTTTTATTAAACAACAATTAAAATGGCACGATTTTGATCAGATTTTATGATTTTAAATCAACTTTAATTGCTATGACTATAAAACAGGTTTTTCTCTAGCTTTACTTTAGAAGCTTCAATTTTTTATTATTTTTTCTGACTCCTCACGTCGATAGATTGGTAAGTGTAATACTACTCCTATCTTTCATACACTCGGACGTACAACATCAATTCATACTTACTCCCTGTGAGACAAAACGCCGATAAATTAGATTAAAATCCATTAAAAGCGAATAATCAATTAATATTTGAATAAAAATCGATTAAAATCAGAGTTTTCTTTGACTCTTTTTTAATGAGTATACTTCATTTCAGATGGATTGCGTGTGTCGATGTTTTGGGGATATGAGTGGTGTTGAATGTGTGACTGTAGGTGGGAACATGAGTATAAGTGGGACATGAGTGTAGGTATTCTCTTCGCTCACACATATAGCCATACCGATACTCACACACCTATATGCAGACTCATACCTCCACGTACACCTACACTTTCAGCGTTATACACGCTTCAATAGACCCTTCCGAAGGGTTTGAGAAATTCATTAACATAAACTTAAAATTCAAAAGCTATTAGCTTCAATTTCATTTGATTTTTCAATTTAATTTATTCAAATACAGTACAATTTTAAGCCTCAAATTTTTGTTGTTAAAATTCTTAAAAATTCACTTCTATGAATTTAAGGGGGCCCCTCACAAACAAACTTTTTTATTTTTCCACGGAGTTCAGCCAAAATTTCAGAGAATATTAATCTTGGCTAGAGTAGATTATGGTTAAAATATCTCCTCAAATCTGCGAGTTATTCACGAGTTATAATCAATTTATTGATCAAAGGTATCCTGTATGCGAACAAGGTTTTCGCAATCAGAATACGAGCTAACATGCCTGGGCAGTTTTTAAGTTGTGGAGTACCCTTAGCGCTAGGCCGTAATGGAGCTCGATTTTTGAAATTCCCTTTGTTTGTTTTTTAAAAAAACTTTTTCGAAAAATTCTCGAATTCATGACCAAAAAATTGCTGATAAAAATGACATATGTAAGTGCATTATTTGACGAATACAGAAATTCAAAAATGAAGCTCTGTTACGACCTAGCCCTAACTGTTCTCTATTGAATAAAAAAAATTATCACTTGTAAAATTGAGTCGTTATTGAGTAAGATTTGTCCACGCAAACAGTATAGTCGAAAAAACGGATTTTAAGAAAAACGGAAAATAAATTTTTAAAAACCCTATCTTTTTCAATATGGAGGTTCAGAAAAACTTATGCAATATCCTTAAAGCTCATCATAAAATCAATCAACTATAGCGCATTCGACAGTAGATATCTGGCTCTATCTAACGAGCTATAGATCACAAAATTGATGAACTCGAAGAAAATTGACTTTGTTTGAGGGGAGGAGCCTTTAAAAAAAACTTATTTTATGCCGTAAATTGTGTTTCTTTTTTCTTTTTTTTCTTATTCAACTACAATTTATAGATTTTGCCGGAAATAATTGTTATGATGGATGTTTTTAACATTTTTCTCAAATCTGAACACACCATTTAATTGCCATTTTAATATGGAATCAAACATCGCATGGAGACAAATTCATTGAGGTGCAAAGAATTCATATACAAAAGTAAAAAACATATAATGGCGTTCAAAAAATACCATGGGTTTGGAATGTGAATGTTGGTGAGCGACTACTCTTCATGAATACACCCCTATCTACTCACCTTGAACTCGCAAAACAAATTGAATTACCGCTAAAAATTATGATAAAATCTCTTTGAAGACTAGCTTTGACTTTAATACAAACCCTTCTTAGCTAAGTTTATATTGATGACCATCGCTCGTGTTTTAGGAGTATTACTTTATCGGTAACAAAAAAAAACTATCAGCTAGTCAATATCTATCCTCAATATTTAGCTTCCTTTCAGAAAAAACAATCTTATATCCTGATGATAATATTTATTTATTTTAATAGTTAGATTGCTTTTAATACATGCTAATTTATGCATATAGTTTTATACCATCTAATACTTGATAGTTATTATTTATCGAAAAAACATCATACCATTCTTTATATGGTACACCTTTCTGGATATCATCTAAAATCTACTTCAATCAAAAATTTTTTCGATTGAAACCTCACGTTTTCTATATATTTCACTACATCTTTTCAGATTGTCAATCTGTATTGAACAAAAACTCATGCCATTCACACATTGGAGTAATTTTTCTTATCAAAAAAAAACAAATATTCATTTAACGACAAACTTACGTCCTCTATAAATCGCTGTAACTTGTGTTCAAACAATATACCTTTCCATTCAGATATTTTTAAAACGAATTATTTTCTATATGTGCTTTCATAAGTCAAATCTTTAAAAAGTTAACTATCAAATTTAATCGTTTTATACAAAACAAATAACACTGTTAAATTTAAATTAACTGAAAATTTAAAATATATTATTTTATTTAAATTTAGTTTTCTTCATGCTCGCAAATGAGAAGTAGCCGAAAGAGTTTGAGATTTATATTCCCTTGTACGAGACTTCTATAGGTGTTTAGGAAAACGTTGATAATAAGTTTGTGTATCCAAGAACGGTTTATAAAATGGTTTATGAGAAGCTCACACATGAAAAAAGAGATTGTGAGAGATTTTGAAGAATATGCGTATATACAAGAAAGCCTTTCGGCTATATTAGTCTCATAAACACTTCGCTTAACAGTTTTTCAGCGCATGAGAAGACGATGTCGATGTGCATATAGGTGCGGTTGTAGAGAAGGCTGATAGTGACAACAACTTCTCATTCAAACCGTCAAATGTTTCGTTAGAAACGCACATTTTAAAAATATCATTAAAATCAGATTCACTTTTCATAACACTTAAATCTAAAAATTGATTGAAAAAAAATGTTCATGTCTAGTAGTAGACTGAGTCTATCGAATAATCAAGAATACATAAGATACCATACGTAAGATCCTTCTGAATTCCTATCGAAAGAGAAACTTCTGAAAAATGTTTGCAGATTCGTAATATGATAAACTCTTGTTATAAAATTCTCAGTAGTCTGTCCCAATCAGTAATATCATAAGGTTTTTCCTTAAATCTCAAAATAATCAAAATTTTAGCATAGAATATCAAAGCCTTTCACATGAATTCTAGTATAATAAAAGTTTTTCTAGTAATTATAAATCCTTTTTATTTTCGCACACTCTTGATTTCATAAACCCATAAAGGGAGTAGAACATCGGTCTAAGTCCTGAAAGGTTTATGAAAAATAGCAGTCAGGGCAAAAATTTATTATTTTCCTTCTTTTATGTGGTACACATTCACATCCATACTTATGAACAGTGAGCAACTTCTGATAGGCATAT